TTGTTGTTGTTTACTTTTGTCAAGTATTATGATATTGTGAATCCAGCTTTTAGGTCATTATAAAACTATGAACAAGTTCATGTAGTAATAATCAGACATTTCTGTCAAGTCTCAGAGCGTTATTTTGTACCATTTGGCATAACTACTTCCAGTTACTCGGCTTTATCGCTTCGTGGATGTTTGTTTGTTAAGCACAAAGACCTTCTCCTTGTTAAGCACTTTCTCTGCATAGTGTGCGTATGAAACCCAATTTTCAGTGTTATAAGCTCTCAAACTTACTGAGCCACCAGGGAGATAATTTTTTTGTGTCAAAGATTTTTCTAAATAACAGTGACAGAAAGCTATTTATATGAAGTTGTAGCATTTAAAGGAAACTATTTTTATATTAATTGACAGAAAATTGTGCTGTTACTGATTTACTTCCAGTTTTTATTTTGTTATATCCAAATACAAATGATACTTGTAAGATTAATATAATTTTAAATTCTTTCTCTTTCATCTGATTGGTCAGGTTCTGATACTCCTGGATGTCACTCCTGACCAGTCCATGTTGGACGAAGGAAATGCCAGAGAGGTTATAAACCGCATTCAGAAGCTCAGAAAAAAGGTAAATTACAAAGGCTCTTATTATCTTTATCAAATCTTGATGACTTGAGAAGTCCTGGAATCTTTGGTTTGTGAGTAAGTTTTTCATTACTTAAATTTGTAGAGATCTTAATTTATTTCTTGTTTGTAAAGTTTGTGTAAAGTATGGGATTAAAATAATTTTGTTTCTTGAACAACTGGTAAGTAAAGCTATCATCATTGTGTAATGAACACACTGAATATATGTTAACAATACTTACCAGTTATGTATTAACTCAATAAGCTTTGCATTTATTTCCTGTGGGAAATGTGTTTCCAGGCAAGTTCGTTTCTCACTATTTTGTGGCTTCCATAGGGTATATATATAAAGTTGGGTGTAAACCTTTTTTTATATATTAAAGTTAAAAATGTATATTTTTTATATGTATTTAGTATCTTTCATGTGTTTAGCAGTGTACGATTATAACCACTTATTTATGTTCACTTTCATGCAACTGTAACAACATTTCATGTTTAGTGTTATACAGCTATAAACATGTTTTTCACGTTAGTGTCATACTCTTAATGATAGGTTTCTTAGTGGCCTGTTTCATTCATACTTATGATAATTACTAGGTAATTATGTTTCTATGATAATTAGTAATTATTTTGTACAACTTTACAGGTATACACATAATGATTCTTCTTTGTATTAGGTCATCAAGAAATTAATGTTGCTTCTTTTTAGATGAAAAAACCTGAACAACTTGTATATCAAAACATTTATTAAATGAAATAGTATCCATTCTTATCTATGATGCTTTTCCATCTTACAATCAAGTTGTTAATGCCCTGATTAAAGAAATCACTTGGCTTTGAAGCAAAAAACATGTCGATGTCCTCTTTAACACCTTCCACATTTGCATAAGTTTTCCCATTAAGACGGTGTTGCAGCGAACGAAAAAGATGGTAATCTAATGGTGCTATATCTGGAGAATATGGTGGATGGGGAAGTTCTCCCCACCCAACTCCATAATGTTGTGTTGCGTCCAACATGCCACATGTGGACGTTCATTGTCATGCAGAAGAAGAACACGTTTCCGATTAACGAGTCAAGGTCATTTTTGATGAAGGGCTTGATTTAAACATTCCAGTTGCTGACTATAGATCTCTGCATTGAC